TTTCACCAGCCCTGCCCAGAAAGATTGGATACTACTCAGTGGAGATTCTACCTTTCTCCACACCCTCTGGCTCTAGGCTCCCTCTTGAAAGCTTCTAAGCCAGTCACTTCTTGCCTTTGTAGCTCCTCCCACCCCATTTTGGATAGCTGATGTCCAAGTTGCTCATCCGTTTACCCTGTGTATGGAGGGGGTGGGAATGATCCTCGCTGTAAAGAGTTGTACCCTCTTTTGAGCTACTGCATCCATAGGTATAGGTCAAGTTCATCAAATGTATCAGATTACCCTTCTTTGCCTCGTCTTTCTACTTCTAGTTGAGTTCTGATCATCCAGCCATTGAAGCCAGATAAGTATGGGTGTTCTTGTGCAATTGCCCTCTCTTCTTATCAGCTGGATGCTTCACTCTCCACTCTAGTTCTCTGTGATTATGTCACTGACTCTGGGCCAGAGTCCCCAGGTCTTGCCACACTGCTGGCCAACCGGGTCTCCACCCAGGTTCACAGGAATCTATTGAACATGGTAGGACTCCAATTCATTATGACAACATCCAATTTTCCTAGATTCATACTCTGTATATTCCATGTTCTGATTAGTAATGAGTGTTTACAGCTATTTTTCATTTTGTGTTGTGTCCCATCAGCAAATGAAGGTTCTGAAAGCTTTACTCCATTTACAGCATCATGGTCAACTCTACTTCGAGGCGGCAGCTCTTCCCCAATCGTATTTTGAGTGCCTTCCAACCTGGGGGGCTTGTCTTCCCGCACTGTATCTGACACTATTCTGGTGCTCTACCTCATGTTTCAGTCATCAAGATTCTGGTACTGTGACAGTGTTGTGCTGCTACTCATTAGGTTTTCAGCGGCCAACCATTCGGAAGTAGTCTGTCTCTCCTTCTTCCTAGTCTCTTAGTCTGGACGCTCCACTGAAACCTGTCCACCACGGGTAACCCTGCTGATATTTCAAATACCCCTGGCATAGCTTCCAGAATCACAGTGACGTATGTGCTACCACAGCACGACAAAGTGACAGATGAGTGGTGGGCTATCAGTGGGGGCACTTGTATAAGATTTTTAAATAAATCTTATATGTGTATGTATATCTCTTTTCAGCTATTTACCAGTAAGGGTATATAATCAAAAGAATAGGGACTCGTGAGTCTAGAGAACTCTTTAGCATTTTCCAGATGTGGGTGGGAAGCATCAGCCTGATGGATGTGTGTAGGGTCAAGAAGAGAAGCAAGAATACGACGACGACTTTTATTCTTCCTCCTCATTCACAGCAATTTCCCCTGAACTGGGGGTGTCCTGAATACCAGGTCCCATCCCGTGATGAGTGGAAAGGACCCTTCCACTTCCCAAATAATCTGAAGCTGTCAAAAAATGGTATCAAGCACCCAACTGTCCATATGCCTCAGGGGCAGCTTCTAGGTGACTGCTCCAAACCATCAGCGTAGTCAGGGGAAGGATGCTGGCCCCCCAAGGAGAAAGGGCCTTGCTGCCTCCAGTATATCCAGCTTGGGGTCCAAGGAGCGGCCGAGCCCCTCCAGCACCATGGTCGCAAACACAATTGAGGCAAAGTTGCTCTCAAGCTTCACCTGAAACAAATGGCAGTGATTCTTCTGAGGCCCATTGGTGTGGAGAGGGGTGCCCAGGGTGGACAGCCAGCTCGCTGACCATTCTCACCTCTCCTACCTGCCTAGGCAGTTCTACCTGGATGGGAGTCTCCCTAGCCATCCTCCTCCACCCAGTCATCTGCTCACCCGCCATCTCTCAAGTGCTGGGGATGTCAGGGGAGAACTGTCATGCACACAGCATGCCCTTTGCTGGGTGTGTGTGTGTGTTTATACCACATGCACTACGATACCCACATTGATACGAATGAGGGTCATGCTTCACACCTCCCCTGAATTTTCAGCAAGCTCTGGTAGCGTAGTGGTTATGAGTCGGGCTGCTAACCTCAAGGTCAGCAGTTCAAAACTACCAGCGGCTCCATGGGAGAAATATGAGGTTTTCTGCTCCCATAAAAACTTACCGCCTCAGAAACCCTATACAAGGTCCCTGAATTGGAACCGACTCCACTGCACACCACCATTTTCTAGGAGATCACACACAACCCCCTTATTTGTCCTAATTTTTATCTGATTTCAATCTCTTTCTATAACATTCCTGTAATAAATGCACCCACAAGTAGAAATGCAGCTCAGTATAACAGAAGGCTGGAAGGAAAAGAGACTCAATTCACTTAGTTGGAAAAATAGGATGACTCTCACACACCAACCCCCACATAATGTAATGTTCCAGAGTTGACTACGACCTTGTGTATAGGCTGGCACCAAAAAAGAATTTCCTATGCACCAACCAGTGACAACGGAAGATGAAAACAAAACAACAACTAAAAAATACTCCAAGAAATTAACACACACAGAAGTGGCTGGAGGAGGACAGGGAACCAGAACAAAGTGGAGAAACGGAACCAGCTTCGCTCTGCTGCTGACCACACAGAAGGCCGTCCTCAGCTTGGCCCCGTTAGAACTCCTGCTTGCTTTCTTATGATGTAAAAGAGAGCTTAACTGGGTTATGAAAGTGCTGGAAAGAGGAGAGGCCCCTGCTCCCACCAGGAAGGAAGAGCCGGGAGTGGTGCATGTCCTCTGGGCCCGGGGTCCCTGTACTGTGAAGCTCCCAGATCCAGGGGAAGACTGATGCCAAGACACGTGAAGGTGTCCGAGGAACGCTGGTCTCCAGATGCTGAGAGGAGGCCAGGACCTTTCCCCAGAGCTGACGTTCTAAAGGTGGGCAAGCCCCCTGAACTGTGAGAGAAGAAGTTTGTTTGTCCAAACGAACAAGTACTAGGAAAGTATAACCACACTGTCAACCAAGTGAGCTTCACAGTGCTCTGGATGAACCTCTCTCAGGAGTCTCCTTCCTGGAACAGAGTCCACCTGAAGAATCACCTTCTAGTCCAGTATCTCCTCTGCACTGCATCTCTCAGGCTCTTACCCAAGTCTTTCCTGAAGTCAAGAGACACTGAAACTGGATTGACCACACAAATGAGGAAGGCTCTTCTCTTCACCCGTAAAATGTGTTCCTTCAGCCGTGATTGTGGTTAACTGCGGCAGCCATGGTCACTCCGCTGCCTCGAGGACTGAACTTCCGGCGTCGCTGCTGTTACCATCTTCCCACGATACATCCCACGGAGTCGCCGTGATTCAGTGCCGACGTGACACTGTAATTTTGGTTTGTAAAAATTGAAGTTTTCATTAAAACACCAACCCAGCTTTTTAAAAATCCAGCATGCCAGCGAGGCTCTCATCTCAATATTGGTAAAGATGCTCTTCATACTAGAGAGGCAGGAGGGCGGCTTGATGTCCTCAGGTGTGAAGATTCAGACGGTTCTGAATGTAACTCCGTGTTGTCATTCCGATCCCGTCTCTCCAGCTGACCCTCAAGAACATCAGGAAATGTTCTGAAGTCAGTTCTGTGGTCCCACTGTACCTGACTGACCAGCTGTCTCACTTATTTTTGATTCCTTTTGTTTTCCACTGTTTCTAAAGCCTGACTAGCAGGCCCGTCCTGAACGGATTACTGAGTCTTTCACCTAATACTCCACAGAAGTTCCTGGGCTTCGGGCAGCAAGGCGGGCCTCTTCTCAGACACTGCCACCCAGCAGGCAGCCGCTGACTGCACTCATACCTATGACGTGGTTACAAGCTGTTCTCCCACCCAACACCATTTCAAATCATTGTCCCCCTTCTTGTGGATGCCCACGGCCCCTCTCCAATTACAGCGTTGTTGTTGTTGTCAAGTGCCATCAAGTTGGTTCCAACTTATAGTGACTCTATGGGATTTCCGAGGAGTGGCTGGTGAGTTTGAACCACTGACCTTGCAGTGCAGTGCTTACCCTACAGCGCCACACCAGGACTCCGGTGTAGAAAGGGAGAAAGAGGCAAGGGCGTGGCAGTCAGCTTTCCTTCTGTTCTTGGTCATAATGTATCACCCTGTCAGCTCACTGCAATCTTCAGTGGCTGCGGTTGTGCCCCACCCCCACCCCAAAAAAGACACCAGAACCAAATCGCACTGCCACTGAGTCAATTCCAACTCGTAATGAGCTTACAGGACAGGGCAGACTGCCCTACAAGGTCTCCACAACTAAACCTTCATGGAAGTAGCTGCAGGTGGGTTTGAACCACCGACTCTGCTTAACCCACTGTTCTGGAAAGACTTGATCACTCCTGTGAGGGAAGGCTGGCCCACCACCACCACCTCCCCCACCTCCCAGGAGACTCAGCTGCACGGGCCTCACCTTGTGCGTCATCAGTAACCTGAAGACGCTGGAGAGAAGGCTGGAAACTTGAAGCTGGAAAAGAGAATAAAGCCAACGTGCAGAGGTTACAGCGCCTGGAGACCACTTCTTTCTCCTCCTGCCCCCGGCCTGCCCCTCTCCCAGCACACACACATGCCACACTACACAACACACACACAACATACACATTCACAGGCCACTTTCCACACACTTTGGGAATTGCTACCCCCAGGGGCCCCACTTGAGGAGCCCACCCACCTTATCGAGGGTGATGGTATTTCTCCTGGCCTGGCTCACCAGTGTGGCCATCTCAGCCTTGAAGGCCTCCACGTCCCTGCACTCGCTGGCCCGGGCGTGGTGCAGGATGAGCTCAGCCACTCGCTGGCCCTGGAAGATGAGAAGCTGTAAAGTCCTACCTCCAGTGGGCAAAGCCAGGTGGTCTCCCCAGCCCCCCAGATTCTCCTCCTACCCTACCTTTCACCACCCCCCTTTCACTAGATCCCTCAGGACACCCAGATACTGGCCAGCCTCAGACCTGCGTGGTCAGGACACTTGTCACCCAGCCCAGTGCCTTCTGGGCTGCTGGGCCAGGCTAAGCCGGGACAGAGTCTCACCCGGGACCAGGCCCGCCCTGCCTGCTGGGCTCACAGCTGAGCCTTGTCTCTGCCCCCTGAGGTCACTCCTAGTACCCCCCCCCAGCTCCTGCCGCACTGCCCAGAGCCAAGCTCTTCCTTCCTTCCCCCCACTGTCCTCCCCCCCTCGGCCCTGGGCTGTCAGCCTGGCTGTGGGTAGCCCCTTGGAAGCAGGGGTCTTGAAACTCTGCCTGTTTGCCAGCTCCCTCTCCCCTGGGCCTTTCCTCTCTGGAGACCTCCACCTGCAGCCCAAGGTTGTCATCTGTGGTAGACAACCACTCACTCAGGAGAGTTCTGAGGCCCTTTCTCTCTGTGATCATTCTCAGTGGTGAAGCCCCTCCAAGCCACAGGCCCAGAAAACCCACTGTCCTCAAGTCAATTCCAACTCCTAGTGCCCCCGTACGGCCTGGTGCCCCCGTAACTAGTGCCCATGTACGGGTCTCCAAGGCTGTAAATCTTTATGGAAGCAGGTTGCCAGGTGCTTCTCCTGTGGAATGGGTGGTGGGTTTGAAATGTCCACCTTCTGGTTAGCAGCTCAGTGCTTAACTAGTATGCCACCAGTGCTCTCAACTTTGCCCAGGCCCACCCCAGAGACACCAACAGGCTCCCCGTGAGAGAGCTGCTCCCCTGCCTTTTGTCTCCCCAGCAGTGTAGACCAGGGCAGTCATGGTTGGGAAACCCCAGGCATGTGCGCTGCTGGAGAAAGGAGACCAGGAATGGAGATGGCTCCAAGCTGGCCCCAGTGCCCAGAGCCTCCCGCCACCTCCCCTTCCAGCCTCCCTTGGCTCTGCTTGGGGAGCAGCTTTACAAATGCACTGGTAGGAGAGTGACGAAGGGCTTCTCACCTGGCCCATCAGCACAGCCAGGAAGACAGCCCGGAAGTTGCTCAGGTCGGTTGCCTGCAGCTCGGCCACAATGCCTGCATCCAGCAGCACTAGCCTCAGGGCCTGCCTGGTGCAGCCGTCCTGAGGCAGCCCCGACTCCCGGCCCACCGCCAGGCTGTGGGCACCTTGCACCAGGATGTTCCCAGGATGGAGGTCCGCGTGGACAAAGTTGTCCACAAATATCTGCAAGAGACCAGCACTGCTCCCAGCTCACTGCCCTCCCACACCAGGGTGAGGAGACCAGTTGCCTTCCAAAGACTTGAGTCCCTGTGTGGACGGGTACACAGTTATGTGGTGGGATGTGCCACTAACCAAAAGGCTGGCTGTCCAAACCCACCCTTCCAGAGGAGACGAGGAAGGCAGGCCCAGACTTCTGAAAGGCCTTGGAAACCCCACGGGGCACAGTTCTGCTCTGCACACATAGGGTGTCAGGGGTCGAGTCCACAGAAAGGCAGCTGTGAATTCTACCCTCTGATTTGAGTAATACAACTTACAGTAATTCGGATTTGAGCAATACAACTTACAGTAATTCGTCACAGTTCTAAAATCCCAGTGAGCTACAGTTCTTTAACAATACTTGACAAAGCAGGTGTCCCTCCACTGTTCCAAGATGCCCTGGTGGCACAGTGGGTTAAGTGTTAACTGTAAGGTCAGTGTTTCAAACCCCGCCGCTGCTCTGTGGGAGAAAGCTGGGGCAGTCTGTTTCTGTGACAATTTACAGCATTGGAAACGCTGTGGGGCTGACTGCTCCATCCTACAGGGTCCCTGTGAGTCCGAATCAACTGGACGGGCTGGGGCGATCACTCCATTCTCCAGCATCGGTGAGAGCTGACAGTGGACCACAGGACAACAGGCCCAGGGCCCCTTTGTGGAGTCGCTGCCTCCCATCGAGACACCAGCAGTAACCTCTTCCTACTGGGGCTGGAGGGGGCCCTGAAGTAGCCCAGTCACTGCTGGATGGGGGCATTCAGGGAGCCTTCCAAGCAGATGCACACTCTGAGCATTGCCGCCCCCCCATCCAGGCTTCCTTGAATCACAACTCCTGGTTGTGCCCCTGGGTAGGGTGGGCCCCCAAATTACCCTCTGGCAGACTGTGCTCACCCCTTTTACCCCCCACTTACCTGGTGCCCATCACTAGAACCCCTTCCCCTCGCAGGAGGTCCCTAAGCACTGAAATCCCTCTTCTCTGCTCACCCCTGTAAACCTACACCCAGCAAGGGCCATGGCACGCAGTCAGCATGCCAGCAACTACTTGCTGGGTAATGAACACACCTGACCATCTCTGGTGCTCTGTCTACACCACAGGCACCCAGCTAGACTGTCTACATCTCAGGACTGCAAGGACCCCTGGGCAGGGATGTTCAGTCTATACTGCCGACCTCTGGGTAGGGACCATGTACACCCCTTGGGGCTCTAGGCAGTAACCATCCACACCACAGGCTCCTGGGTAGGAACTGTGTACACTGTAGGACCCTGGGTAAGGGCTATGTACACCATGGGTCTGGGGGCAGGGACCAT